TAACCGTTGAAAATGACTTTAATCTGAGGGCTGGGGTTTCTCTGCCTTCTCTATAAATACTCCTCCCCTTTTCTCGTCCTCACTTTTCGCACTCATCTTCTCTGAGCTTTCTGTTTTCTCCGGCAAACACAGCATCTCAAGCTTTTCGGCGCTCTTATTTTCCGGCGTCCTTCTCCAATTTTTCAGGACTTTCCGTCAACCATCATGAGTATGAGTAAGTTTTCTTTGCCTGTTCGACTTGTTTTCGTGTTTTGAGATAAGAACGCCTTTTATTTTTCTGGGTAAATTGTCTGGAAATAAGAACATCTTTTATTTTCTGGGAATTGCATGTGAATCTTCTGGCGATTTTCCTGTTAGATCTCTGATTGTAGGTTTTTTATCTCTTCAAGTGTTCTCCTTTGTTAGTCGTCTTGTTCTGAGAGATCGACTCTTTTCCTTTCTTGACTTGGCCTTCATTTGTCAAGTCGAATCGATATGGGGAATACTTTTCTTGTTTCTTCTCCCCTTCTTCCCGTTGTCGAGACGCTTCTCGTGCTATCCTGGTTATTTTGTTGACCCTTATCTCTTTGAATCGAATCACGACCACGCTTTCTAATAACTTTTCTTGATTGCCGTTCTCTCTTTTTCTTCTTAGATTCCAATCTCGACCCTGTTTCTGACCCCGTCTCCGGTTCTCTTGCCCGTGAAATCGATAACTATTCGGGTTCGGACCCGGTTCACCCAAACAATGTCGAACCATGTTCTCGTCGAAACGTCGAGCCGGAGGACTCTGTCCATTCCAATGCCTCACCTTTCAGTATCGATTGGGCTGTGTACAATCAGGCGTTGCTTTCGGGCACACTTTGTGAGGATCCCGAAGTTCTCCAAGTCCTCGAATCCTCTTACCCCGACTTGACTTCTCGAGGTATTTTTCGCTAGATTCTTCTAGACATCCTCATATATGCGGTCAGCTTTGTTCCTTTACTTGATAATGACTTCCCTTAATCGAGTCTGCAATTATAGCATATTCCGTGGTAAAGTTCTTACTATCGTTTTCTTATGCTCCTGCAGCCGAAATCGATGGCTTCAGAGAGTTCAGCGGCCTTCCCTCGGATTGGGCTGTAGTTGCTCCTAAACCCGAAGACGACTTCCGTCGCCCTCCCAAGGGTTGTTTTACTTTTTTCGTGGATCAAATAATGTCGGGCCTGCGTTTCCCGATTCAACCTGAGCTGCAATCGTTAAGAAACCTTTTTGATATACCAATAAACCAGTTCACTCCTAGTTCTATTCGAATAATGGTAGCCTTCATAGTTGTTACCCGCATAGTTTTAGGTAATTTTCTACCCGAGTTTTTCCTTTACTGCTACGGGTATAGGTTTAACAAGGACGCCTATTGTCTGGGCCTTCGAATAGGTGTTACTTTCGTTGACGACCTCTCTTCCAACATTACCGAATGGAAAAAGAAGTATTTCTTCATTCGACCTGCTCCTGGCCAATATCCCTTTTCAAATGAGTGGATTACCAGTAAGACAAAGTAGCGTAAGCGTCCCGACTCTTCACAGTTTGCTGATATGCTAAAAGAGTTAAATAGACACGTATGGAGCGCTCGTCGACTTACCAAAGATACTTCTTTACTTAATCATGTTGGTATTTGTGTTGATAAAAGTGCTCCTCGTCTTAACGATCCTTGTAAGCTTCTTTGTTTGTCGTCTTTTGTTTCGATTTACTTACTGATTGTTTGGTCTCGCGTTTTTGCGTTTATTTGAAATGCACGTAAGGCTGGTGTGTTTGTTTGTATTTGATCGTTTTCTTCCTTTTTTAGTAAAAGCATTGGCCCGCTTCGAGAAGAAGAAGGCTGAAGCGGCCCGCAAATCGGTTGCTCAAGAGCTTGGGGGTGGCTCGAGTTCTGTTGCTCCATCAGCGGCGGTCGAGACGACTGCCGCTAAGAAGTCTAAAGTTGTTCTTCCTTCCGCTTCTGTTCCTAGCAAGCCATCGGATTCCCACTCTCGCAAGAGGCCTCGTGACCAGCGAGATAAGGCTCTGGCACCTGGCTCCTCAAAGCGTCAGGAGAGGAAAGAGCCAGAGGCTGTCGTCGATGCGACTGCGCCTCTGGATGGAGAGGGTGCGGGACAACCGTCGCCCGTGAGGGTGCAACCGGTGACCCTTCAACAACCCTCCTGACTTTATGACAACCCCGACTCTCTCCAGATTCTCAACTACCTCCAGTCAGTTCTTCCGGAGGACGACCGAGCTCGTTCCGACGGCAACCCATACGACAGGGATCGTTATGCCGCTCGGCTCATTCCTCGGGTAGGCCTAATCTTAAGTTTGTTTGCTTTTTCCTCATGATTTTAGTTGTGTCGATTTCTTATTATTTTGTTTGTTTATTCTTTCTTCAGCTTCTTGCCTGCATTCTCCCGACTATGATCGAGGAGGCGACCTCCCCTGAGACTAATAATAAGGTTTTGGGGGAGAAGTATGCGGCCA